AAGTGGATTCAATTTGCACTATTTCTGGCAGTCTGCAACCCCCCATGAGTAAAAGAAACCAAAGGGAAATGAAGGACCAACTTAGGGAGAGTTCCATCACAGAAGTATTATCAGTATGCTTATGTTTTCACATAGATTTATTTATCTGTTCGTGTACCCCAGTAATGCACTTTTTCTTGTTGTTTTTTTAACTGAAAGCTCAGATCATTGCCATGGAAAAGGTGGTGCCTAACTTATTGCTGTGTGCCTTAAAGTCATTTCTGACACATGGCAAACCTAAGGCAAACTTATCACAGGATTTTCTTGGCAAGATTCATTCAAAGGGGGCATGCCTTTCCCTTCCTCTGAGGCTGAGATAATGTGACTTACCCAAAGCCACCCTGTGGGTTTCCATGGCTGAGCAGGGATTTGAACCCTAGTCTCCAGAGTGATAATCCAACACTCAAACCACTATGCCACACTAGTGCCTAATACTAGCTTTCATATTTAGAAGTCAAGTTCAGGTCCAAAACAGAACCACAGGACAAACTACAGGGCAGGATTGAATTATGGGCTATTTATTGGGACCAAAGGGACAAAGGAAAGTCAAAGGGATATGCAAGAGTCCAGGAAGATCTTGCCATACAAACAGTTTATGTGCACAGGGAGCAAACCTGATATAAAGATACATAATCCCAAAGTGTGTTAGTGTGTGATTAACATTATTCCAGCCTTTGTACTCTACCAAGCACAGACATCTTAAGAATACCAGAACCTTCCTGTGCCATCAGCTGGCACTTTGAATACAGAAAAAGAGCAAAACAGAAGGCTAGAATTCTCACCCAAGAAGTGGCTTAAAAGAATGATACTCCTCCCACGGTGACCCCAGTTAAACTAGATTTTCAAGGTTTATTTTCAATATTGTTCTAAATATATGTGTAAGAGATTTGACCAAAGATGACAATGGGGCCAAAAACATAGGTGTGTGTGTACATAACAGGAAGTGATGGTTCACTCAGACTGCTTTCAGTTCCCTTTTTCAAAAATGTTACCTAATTCCAGTCTAATTTAAAAACCCTCTCAAAGAATCAAACAGTATCTAGCCCAAATCCATTGCAAATTTCTTCCTGTGTCCCCATTTTTTACACTCTTCTCTGCTGTTCCTATGACCTTAGGTTCCCAGGTGATGGTAATGTCTTTTGACAACATGGTTAAGAAAGTGAGGAAAGCCAACCGATGGAGGATTCTGAAATTCGCTGAGAAACATAAAGTATGATGCTTTTGGAATTATACATAAGCACTAAGCTGAGATCTGTCCATGTATATTAGACCTCTTCATTACTGTCTCTCCATGGGAAGATGCTGATTCTCCTTTTCTCTTTATTTCCACTCTTTCCAGTTTACAGGTTTCTTAAGGGTCCTTGCCTTCCCTTCTGGCTCCCTTAGGCTTTACCACAAACTGAGCAAAAAGTTCATGTCACATTGACTTCACCTTTTCCCATAATGTTTTCTGCTCCTGTGTGACCACCTGGAAGTTTCTTCTTTTACCTTAAAAAAATAAATAAGGATGGAAGGGAAGTGCAATTTTTGGCCTTTGGATTTAAAAAAAAAATTGTTGGCTGTTTCTTTTACCTGAAGAAAAAAATGTCAGAGGTATAGAAAGTGGCATTCAGGGGAAAAAATAGATCACTTAGACAGTGGGTAGGCAAAGTACAGACCTACATAATGCCCTCTAAGGCTGTTTTTTTTTGGGGGGGGGCTCTGACTCTTCCCACTTCTGCTAAACTACTCTTTCATTGGCAAAAGAAAGGTGAATTGCTTTTCTTAGAATCCTTCAGGGCAGCAGCTCACCTTTTAAATAAGTTGTAACCCCACATCCCCCAGTACTCTTTAACCTTAAAAAACCCACCAGTTTTTCAAAACTAGGATTGAATTTCTGGTTGCTTATAGTTTTACTATGTTTTTTTGGCATTCTCTTCAGTCCACAGAGTCCAAGGGACACAAAACTGACTGCCAATATTGTCCAACCCGCATGTAATCCTGTCAGAGGTGCAGAGATGCTCCCCACTCATAAGTAGATTTAGAAATTCTCCCATCAACAAACTCCCTCCTCTACTTTTCCCGGTCAAGTTCTGAATGCTGTAAAGGTAGAAGGGCCTCTGCATTGAAGTCAGGAACCAAGAAGTAGGTTGTTACGACTTGTTACTGTAACTATAATCAGTTACTCTTCTTGATAATGTGGCTGTGATGAAGTCATCTTTTAAAAATAATCCAATGAGCAGGAATGAACTCACACTGTTTGTGTAACAAGTGACAATTAGGATTTACTTTTCAAGTTACTTTTGAAGAGCATCCATGTTAAGACACTGTAAAAGGCATCCTCACCTGTATTTTTTTCAGATTTAATGCCACCTTCTTACCAGTTTTAAGTAACAGAATGCAATGACCACCAATGAGTAACAAGAAGCAATGGATACCAATTAGTATTGCAACCTGTAATGCAATGAGTTACTTTCAGAGTAACTTGAGTCACAAAGTAACAGTATCCCTAAGCAGACTGTCAGAAATAGTGCACATTAAATTGAGGCACTGCCCTGGCTCAGTGCTAAGGAATCATGGGAACTGTAATTTATTGTGGCACCAGAGCTCTCTGGCAGAGAAGGCTCAATGTCTCAGAAAAAAATACAACTCCCATGACTCCCTAGCACTCAGCCAGGGCAGTGCCTCAATTTAATGTGCACTATTTCTGGCAGTCTGCAAAGGCCCAATGAGTTAATTTTCAAAGTGTTGGGAATCAATTGCTTTCCAAATAATTAAATAAACAGTAGAAACAAATTACTTTTAAAAAGTTACTTTCCAGGCCCTTGTTACAATGCAAGAAGCTAAGTATAATAGTGATATAAGAAATGCACATCTTAGGGGTTGCAGACTGCCAGAAATAGTGCAAATTGAGTCCACTTTTAGGGTTAGGGTTAGGGTTAGGGAATCATGGGAACTGTATTTTATTGTGGCACCAGAGCTTTCTGACAGAGAAGGCTCAATGTCTCAGGAAAAAAACAATTCCCATGATTCCCTAGCACTAACCCTAACCCTAACCCTAAAAGTGGACTCAAATCCACCTCTTGTACACAGAGCATCTTAAAGCTGCAGAGCAAACCATCTCAGTGCACTGGGTGCTATGAAAGTTATCCTTAATGCTCACCAATGGAGTTTGAACTGAAAAGCAGTTACAGAGTTCAGGTGAAGAACACACCCACCCACACACAAGCAACAAATTTGTGCATACTCTAGAGCAGAAAAGATCCACTGCTATTTAGGCTGGTAAAAAGCTGCCTTAGGCAGCTTGGCTGCAAACCCAAGATGGCTTCAAGCTGTTCTGTCAGCGTACAGCATATAAACACTGTACCCAGAGATCGTCTTGAAGCCACCCATGTCTGGTTGGCCAGGGTGGCTTCCAGGCATCATGGAGGTGTGTGGTGTCTAAATGCCACATCTCCAAGATATGTGGAAGCTGGCTTTTCAGGCCGGTCAGTTCCAGCCCTTGGTCTTCCTCCTCAGATGCATATTTCACTTCCCAATCCATTTAGTTCCTTCTCTTTTGTGTCTTCTCCATTTCTTTCACAGTTATGGTTCTTCTTTGAATGTCTGAGGGGATGTAATGTAGAAGATATATTTTATTTAAAATATTTATATTTCACCTTTCTCTCGATAATGGAACTCAAGGTAGCTAACAACATATTTAAAACAATGCAAGTTAGAAACCATAAAAAAGTCAAACTAAAAATATAAATATAAGATTTTCAAACAAGTAAACCATTTATGAGTTAAAACATGAGACCTCAAAAATATTCAAATTAATAAAAAACTATATACAAATGCTTCATACAAACAAGATGGTGTAAGTTTGTTTTCTGATGCTCCAGAGATGAGAACATGAACCAATGGATTGAAGTTCCAAGAGAAGAAATTCCACTTCAACATTAGGAAGAACTTCTTCACTATAAGAGCTGTTTGACAGTATAACAGACTGCCTTGGCAAGTGGTGAACTCTCCCTCTTTGGGGTCTTTCATAGAATCATAGAATCACAGCGTTGGAAGAGACCACAAGGACCACACAGTCTAACCCCCCTGCCATGCAGGAACTCCCAATCAAAGCATCCCTGACAGATGGCCATCCAGCCTCTGTTTAAAGACCTCCAAGGAAGGAGACTCCACTACTCTCCGAGGGAGCGTGTTCCACTGTCGAACAGCCCTTACTGTCAGGAAGTTCCTCCTAATGTTGAGGTGGAAACTTTTACTGGGGCTTACATCCATTGGAGTTTTGAGTGGTTTAAAAAGGAGTTTTGAGTGGTTCTCTCTCAGGAGTGCTTCAGTTGTGTGTTGATGCATGATGGGAGAAGCGGTGTGTGGACTAGTTGGCACTTGTTACCCCTAACAAATCTAAGATTCTATTATTCTCATTCTTTTTTTTTTCCTGTGGACCCCAATAGGTTAGCAATTGGCCCATTCTAGTACACTTTGGCAGCTGACACATGCTTTCTGAAGAAGCTCCCCAACCCACCTTAGTGTTCACTAGAGGCTAAGTTGCCACCAACAAAGATTTTGACTTCAAAAACAGTGAACCCAGCAGAAAATAATGCTTCTTTTATCCTTCATCATACATTTTTCATTTCTCTCCCCTCATCTCTCATTTAATAAGTTTAAGCCTGGAGATGTAGAATTTGATTCTTTTATTAGAAAAGCCCTACAAATTCAGTGCAAGGCTAAAAAAAAAATCCAAATCCCTTATGATTCTGGGAAAGAACTTTGATCATAGGCATTGAAAGTTAGGAAGAGTTCTTGTCCAGTGACAAAATAAGAGGAGTTTATATTTCCCCTGAGCACAAGTTGAACATGTAAGATGTGTGCAGTGGGTAGGTGGAAAAAATTTTCTCCTGCCAGTCCCATTCTAATATGACATGGAGGACAAGAGAAAGAGATGCTAAGCATAGTGGCATCTTGAATCAGTTTAAATTCTTTGGAACCAAAATACATATTTATGGAAGAAAAATCCGTTTGGGAACTCTCATGTACACTCTTGCACAACATGACAGAGATCAGAGGCTTGGCAGATGCTATGCTCTGTTTGATATAATTTAAAAAAGCCTCCTTTGCCCTTACCTTTTCTGATAAAAAGCTGCATTTCTGCTGTGTTTTGTCAGGCTGTGTATGTTGGGGAAATGGTGCTTTGTTTTGCATTCTTTGACAAAGTATGCAGAAGAGTTTTTGAAATGCTGTCCTGATAGATTAATTCATTATACAAGTTCTGCTACCCAGACTTGGAAACATTTTGTTTGGACTGCTGTAATTCATTGTAAAGTGTGCTGGTCCTTGAACACTGTTCAAAATTTGCAATTTGCCCAAAATACAGCAGCTAGATTTCTTACTGGAGCCAAGATCTGGAGCAAATCTCACCAGCCACACACCAGCTACTCTGGCTCTTAGTCAAT